TAGCTGGAAATCTAGCGCAGAACCATCCATACCAACACTGATGGGTTGTTGCACAGTAGCACAGAGGAGGGCACTATCTGATGGATCTACATCTACATACCCATCAATGGATACCACTTTCTTTTCCTCCTAATCAAATAGAAGGGACATAATAAGACAGAGACGAGATATGATAATTTTCTTTTCCAAAAACAAAATAATTTGACTCTGAATAAACATTAAGGAGTGGTTATATATACAGAGGAGCAAAACCTTCGCTGTGTTGCAGGTGCCATCAACACCCGTATAAGGATAATCAGCTTCTGTATCAATCCCACCATTGCTTATAACCCATTGGAACGCGTAGTCCATGTCGCCTCCTTCACACCCATAATTATTGGTTGTATCACAATCCACAAGTTCCTGTTCTGAAAGGCTAATTAGGTCTCCAGTGACCATGGCGTTTATTGCTTCTATGGACCCAGTTGCAGAGAATGACCAACAACTTCCTGTGAACAAAAACAGGGAATGCACATTTGTAAAGTGAAAAAGGTTTGATAATCTATCCTTTTAGACATCAAAGACTCCATACTTTGGGAACTACAATTTTACACAGGGAAGGCGGAGGAGCTATTAACTGGAACTAAGATTGAGACTTTTTTTTTTTTAATTGATAATCGAGGCCACAATCTCCATACATTAACAGGAGGGCAGGAACAAAATTTAAAGGTGTAGTTGCTGATTTTTTGAATATTTAGACTCAGTCTGAGTTTTAGTATTTTTAAATTATTTTAATATATTAATATTAAAAATAAATTTTTTAAAATAAAAAAATATTATTAATATAATTTTAAATAAAAAATATTTTATAAAACAACTTCTACAACACTCTCAATTATTATATCCTAAGGATAAAATGACCCAAAGGCTTCGCAATACTACAGTTATGCCTTGATTTGATGTAAAGTAAGGTAATAAATTATACAATGTAATGAAAATTTTTGGATGAATTGAATGATTCATTACTTTAATTTGTTTGCTGTGTAATTTTTGGGACAAATCTCAAAAATACCATTCGATTGTATAAATGATTTCAATTTTATTATAAGTAAACACTTTTTTTTTTATCAATTTTACCATTAAATTTAAAAAAACTCACTTAAAAATCTTCCATTAATTTTTAACACTTTCCATCCATATTAATTTTCATCCAAATTATGCTTTTGTTTTAGAAAAAAAAATATCATTTTATAAAAGTATTGTTGTGGTTATTTTTCAAAGAATTTTTCATGTTAAAATACATGCTAATAATGTTATTTTTCAAAGAATTTTTCATGTTAAAATGCATGCTAATAATGTTAAAAAAGATATTTTTGACATCAACACATTAAAATAATTTAAAAACACTAAAAATATATTAATTTGAAGTAAATAAAAAAATAAAAAAAATTAATTTTTTTAAAAAATACTTTTAAAACACATAAATAAATAGAATGACATGCATTATTGAATGATTCTAACATAAATGTTTATTGAAAAATCAAAATAATGTAATGTTAAAATTAATATAAAAATAATTTGGATGCAAAATTGAAACGAGGTATATTTGACATGCCTTAATTTTATAAAGTAATGTAATGGAGAATTACTATAACTTTGGAAAAATATATTTTAGTCCCTAGCTATATTTTATTTCTTATTTGCAAATTGGTCCTCCTTTTAATTTTTTTTTTTGTAAAAACATGGTTTGCTCTTTATAATAATAATAAAAAAAAAAACATTTTAAAGTCCTTGTATGATTATATTTTTAATCATCTAATGGTTAGTTTTAAAATTATGCAAATGTTCATTACAATAGTTTTTTTTAAAAAAAAAAAACAGTATAGAAGTCAATCAATCCCTTTTCTTTTACTAATAAATGTTTATTGGGAGTCAAATGCTAAACCTAGCCCCTGTCTACATAGAAAAGGATTTGGCTTTCCAGAGCATCTGGCAACTCACTTAATATTAATATTTTTAGTTTTTTTATTTAAAAAACATGGAAAAAAGTTGAGGAGATAATTTATATATATATATATAATATTTTTTACTCTTTCTTTTGGCTCTTTCATTGATGATGTCTAGTAGCATTATAGTTTTATAAATTTCATGACAAATACAGTAAAGTGATATGCAATTATTGTTTAAAAAAAAAAACAAAGTATTTTTTTTTTGTCAACTAAATAAAATGTTTTTTTTCTGAAATATATATGCATAATATTTTTCAAACAACGACAGACATCCTAAATTGGTTACCAAGAAGTCCACCCTTCTCGTTAGATAAGAGAATTATGCCTAGGGACTTGGAATGCCTACGAGGCCGAAGACAAGCCACACCAAAGCAACCAATCCTATTAATTTTCCTAGCAGATGGATACGCGCCTACCAGTCAACGAAGAAGGGGGCGTAAGACTTTTACGTCACCGACCAGAACAGCACAGAACAACAAAACTAGAATGGATGTATCTAGTGCAAAAACAAAATAAAAATAAAAATAGTTATACATACAAATCATAGACAATATAATAATGATTTTATAAATCACTTGCATAACATCATGCCTTATCTGTCACATACTTAGCAATATTTATAATTTTGTGTTTGTATAGACTTTTTCTTATTTTAATTAACATTGTATTAAGTACAACGTGGCAATTTTAAATTGTTATATAAATTTTTTTTCTTTATTTGATTATTGTTGTAGGATTTAGGATTTCAGTTAAGAATTGCTATAAGATATAGGTGATATTATTATAAAATTTGATTTATAATTAAAGTTGATTTAAATATTAAAAAAATTGATTTGATTGTCATAGGTGATATTATTATAAAATTTGATTTAGAATTAAAGTTGATTTAGAATAAAACTTGATTTAAATATTAAAAAATTGATTTGATTGTGAAGTTGAATTAGATATTTAATCAAATAAATTAAGATTTTTTTTAATTTAAACTAATTTAAATATTAATTCTATTAAATATTGGATTAACAAGTTAACCTATGAAAAAATGTTGAGGCCTAAAAAGACTATAAGAGAATGGAGGAAAAGTTTTTTAAGCATTGAATACCATACACAAGTAATATGCAGTAAATTGAAATCACTAAATGAATAATTGATTTAAACTTCCAATTCAAGTAAAACTCTCGCTTGTAATTATTAAAAACGTGCCATGTAAAAAAAAGTAAATAATATACTAATTTTTGACATTTTTATCTTACTTTATATTATGAGACCAAATTACCTAATTACACATATATTTAAATAAAAGTTATTTACTTTTTCTTAAGGTAAACACACAGGTATACACGCACTCAAGTTTTAAGATACTGACTGACTTCAAAATTGAAGGGAAAGATGAAGAAACTGAAATAAAGGAAGAGAAATGCCTGAAACGGTGCGCGCGGGGCTCAGTTCATTTTAATACAATTGACGATAACCGATATAAAGTTATTAGCTAATTATTTGTTACTGAGTAAACAAATTAAAGAATGCGATGCATAGTCTAAAGAAACAGAGAATTACCACAGTCGCCTTGGTCCTTAACAGCAGTGACAACCCCCTTGTTCCTCCAATCCAAGCTAGAAGGAGCATCGCACGTTTGCAGGTGTCTGTGCGTCCTCTTCTCTTCAGTGGTGATGGGTTTTCTCACCTTTGACAAATACATTTCCCTGAACTCCTCATTGCTCAAATCAGCAAACTTATTCAGTCCCACCTTATGCTCAAAACCTGATTTTCCCTTCCCATTCTTCTCGATTATATATTTCAAGTTCCTTTTAAAGTTTCCGATCCTCCTTTCTGCCTCCTCTGCGTGCTTGTACACCTTCCGGTGCTTCTCTTTCCATAGTTTAAAGACTTCAGTGATGCCTTCCTCTGTAAGACCCTCGTGGAGGTCGCTGCTCACGGTGGAGTTCTCACCAGGAAGGCCGGAAGAGAGGCATGCCAGTGGAGCTAGGAGCAAAAATATGAAAAGGGTCAGTTTTGGTTTCTGGGACTCCATTTATCAGAAACTGGGCTACAACTGATTTGTAGAGTAATCTACGTTCTGATTTATACAGCTAAAGCCTGGGAAAAGAGTGCCTAACTAACAGTCAGCACGCTCAACACAACATCTTCATCATTTCTCGTTTTCTGCTGTTGATAAAAATGGAAGAAAGTGGAAAGCAAAATCTGCATTTTGAAGTGACCAAAATGACACTTGAAATGAACAAATAGCAGGAACCACCGAGGATAGTTTGGTTGTTAGGACTTGGGCAAAATGGAGACTTGCAAAGGAACAAATAGCAGGAACACGACGATATATATATATACGCGTACACACACGTATATAAATCAATAAAAAATACTACTAGTAATTGTTCAAGATATAAGAAAAATAAAAAAAATAAAAAATTAATACTATGGAGAGAGATTAATCAGGAAACTCAACTGATGATGCTTAACATGAAAAGAATTCCATGGAAGTGGCATTCCTGCAGCACTACGTGGCTTTTTGGATGCCTCTATTGTATGATAACGGGCTTCGTCTGGTGTCATATTGTTTTTTATATTTATTTATTTTTAAATATTTTTTTAAAAAATATTTTTTGTTTTAAATAATATTAAATAAATATTTTTTTATGATTTTAATGTACTTACATACAAAATCTAAAAAAATATTATTTTAATATATTTTTAATTAAAAAATTACTTTAAAAAGCATAACAATCCCAACTATCTCAACAGTTTGACACAGTTTGAACATTTCAGCCACACTGCTTTGCAAATTGAGTGGATTCAACTGACCTTATACAACTCGTGCTCACCAGCTTGGGTGCTGTTTTGGAAAATTTGAGACTTGGAGCCAGGTCGGCTTACTAATTAAATTGATCAAGATTTTAACTCGAAAAACCCAGGTCAAAATTTTATTTTCTTGAGCAACTTGATTCACACATAACTAATTCAATAATAATAACAATAATAATAATAATAGAAAAAAGCTGATCAAATCCGGAAAAAGAGAGTCTATAAATGGAAAATGAAGCTAAAGCCACAGAAACAAAAAAAAGAACATTAATATCCCCTGTAATTTTTTCTCTGCTTTTAACCGCTGGCTGTTGCGTACATGAATAATTGTCCATTAAAATAAATAAATGTTCATAGCAGGAATGCCTGCCTGCGAAGAACATGAAACGGCAGCAAAGATCAAGGGATCTCAGATTTTACTCCAAGCGTGTGTTTCAGCGCATTGCATCGAAGGGGTTCCTCTTCCACCGGAGAGCTTGCCGGTCTGTTTTCGTTTTTTCCTCTAACTTAGTCCAGGGAAACTTGTGCTTCGCCAGATGTCGCTTGCTTGCAGGCACTCCCAGGTAATCTCCTTGGCTCTGTCACACACACACACACACACGTGAAATTTCCCATAAAACACCTTTCCTTTATGCCATAAAATTTTATAAAATTTGGAAAAATGGCTTAAAAAATCTGAATTGATAGCTTGACATCTATCATTTTTGCTGCCAGATTAGAATTTCTTACCTTGAGGCAGAGCCCTTCTTCGACGTCACAAATGGGGTAATCACCAGGACAGCAGTACACGGAGTCGGCGCAGCAGACAGCATTCTCATATTGACAGCAACCGTAGACAATGCAGTGGTCAAAGACCTTGAGAATGCAACAGCAAGTCTCGTCACTCGGGCAGTAGGCGAAGTCTCCACAGTCACTTGGTTGAGGACAAGGGGGCGGTGGCACCGGTGTTGGCGGCGGCGGAGACAGAGGTGATGGTGGCGATGGGGGGCTAGTTGGAGATGGAGAAGAAGATTCTTTGGTTGGATATGAGGCCTCGGCATTGATTGCACAAACACCATATGGTAAATCAGTGTTCCTCTTTATATAAAAATAACCTTCCATTCCCCACTCCGTGCCCCATGAATTCTTCACTATCCAATAATCTTCACCATTTTCTGAACCGTAACCGACTATCAAAACAGCATGATCAATGTCGTTCGGATCATCAGAGCAGTCACCATCATAGATTCCCTGTTTATGTCACAACAATCTAATAAACAACATTTTCTTACAACGATCTGAAGTTCCAACCATGGTAGAGAATCAGAGATGCTTACACCAGTATATAGCTGGAAATCTAGCGCAGAACCATCCATGCCAACACTGATGGGTTGTTGCACAGTAGCACACAAGAGGGCACTGTCCGTTTCATCTACATCTGTGTAACCGTCGATGGATACAACTTTTATTTCCTCCTAATCAAATAGAAACACCATTAATGAGGTTTATTGTAATTTTTTTTGAAAAGAGAACATTCATTTACATGCTCTAGGATAAGGAAGTTCTTAATCTTGTAAATTCAACGTATTTAGTATAAATTAGCATTAATCAAGGGGTTATACTAATGAGAGGAACCAAACCTTGGTCGTGTTGCAGGTACCATCAACACCGGTATACGGATAATTAGCTTCGGTGTCAATCCCACCATTATTGATAACCCATTCAAAAGCATAGTCCATGTAGCCTCCTTCACACCCATAATTGGTTGTATCACAATCAACAAGCTCTTGTTCTGAGAGGCTGATTAGGTTACCAGTTACAATAGCATTTATGCCTTCTATGGCTCCGGTGGTAGAGAATGACCAACAACTTCCTGTGAACATTTCATGAGCAGCGAATCCACATTATTGTTCTCTCACACAATTGCTGGTAAAGTCATTTGTTTTTGGAAAATGCCGCATATCGGGACTTAAAAAACCCATATTCAGGTAAAGAGTATATGACGAAACTTACCACAGTCTCCTTGGTCCTTGACAGCAGTGACCACTCCCTTCTTCCTCCAATCAAAGCTGGAAGGTGCGTCACACGTCTGCAAGTTTCTCTGCCTCCAGTCTCTTGCAATGCTCCTTTTGTTGATGGGTTTCTTCACCTTTGACAAATAAAGCTCCTTGAACTCCTCATTGCTCAAGTCCGCAAACTTGTTCAATCCGACCCTGTGCCCCAAAGCAGCTGTTTTCTTTCCAGCTTTCTCAATTATATATTTCAAGTTCCTCTTAAAATTCCGGTACCTCTTCTCCGACTCTGCTGCATGTTCGTACACCTTCTGATGCCTATCTCTCCACTGTCGAAAGATTTCAATGATGTTTTCCTCCGAAACAAGCTCGCTGAAGTCATTGACGACAATGGGGTGCTCGCCAGGAAGGCTAGAAGACATGCATGTCAGTAAAGCTAGAAGCAAGAAAATTATCAGAGACATTTGGGATTTCTTGGAATCCATTTCTGACGCAAGTGATTATTTGATCGGTCCACTTTCTAATTTATATGGAAAATGTGTAAGGTGGGAAACTATATTTTGATCAAGCCTACCAGTCAGGCCAATAAAATGCCCTCATTTCTCACTTTCTGCTGTTTGCATTAGAAGTTGAAGAATTGAAGCATACTCTGAGTTAACAAAGTCGTTATCATTAAATAATTTGTACATATCTTTGTTGTAGCAACAAACTATTTCGGGTATGGTGTTCATCTGCTTTTCACATCCCTTGACTTGTGAGTAGTGCACCTGATGAGAGCCTTGAGACATCTACCAGTCAATCTGCCTCCGGGCATACATAAATCTTTACATGTATCTGTGTGTGTGTGGTCTACCTGCTAGTCTAGCAATAAACTGGTAGATGGATAGCTCATTTATCATTTTTGTCGCATGGAAACCAAGTCAGTGATACAAAGTTCGAAGATTCAAATACTTCATAAACAAATTCATGTAAAGCAATCTTGAACCTCATTTTGTTTTATTTAATGAAAATGGAGAGGATATAAAATACTAATTAGCCACCAGGGAGATGACTAGGGAAAAAAGGTCTATACCATTGTTGTCAAAATAGCAAGCTGAACTCATAGAATTACACAATTTTAGAAGTTAATTTATATACATTTGCTAAATCCTTGTCCTTCCTCTACGTTAAACCTATGCTACCAGCTGATCTTTCAAAATCCAATGTGGGTCTGATATACAATAACAGATAGAATTTGACAATAACACTAGGTTTTTTCCTTGTTTAAATTATATAAAACTTAGCATAAAAAAATTTAAATAAATAAGGTGTTAGATTATTAAATATTTTATAAGCGTGCTTGTTAAAAAAATAAAATACATAAATCAAAAACATGTAAATAATAAAACAGTAATTATTCAGAAAACAGACAATAACAAACAGGAAAAATATAGTAACAATTTAGAAGACAAGCAAAACTATATAAATTTTGATAATAGCATTTTTTTTTTCTTTTTTGAGCTATATAAAACTGAGCATATATAAATCTAAATATAATGAAGAATTCAACATCACATGAAACTTTATGACCTAAATGACCGACAACGTGAGATCTTTGTATTTTAACCATCTCTGGAAACCAACATCCAATCTAATTAACCATATCAATTAGTTGATAAAAATAATAATAAAAGAATGTTATGAGGCTTTAAAGCTGTAGTTATACTATAATATTAATAATTATAGGATGATTAATTAAGTTAATAACTAATAAAATAAGTTATTAGAACCGCTTTCTAGTTATTTGAATTAATTATTGAATTGCTAAATACATAGCATCTAAAAAAATACCACTTGCAATAAAGATGATGCTTCAATATAACTTAGCGATTTAAACTGATATATCAATCCAGATAATTCGATGAGTTTTAAGTTAAATATTATTAATAATATTGGTATTAATAATATCATTAATATTTATAATATTGGTATTGATATTGATAATAGTAGTAATAATTCTCTAGATAGTAATGATTTTGATAAATATTTTAAAAAAATGAGAAAAATAGAGATAATAAAGATGATTTTAATTTACATGACACATCAACATATTAGTTGTTTTATATTTATTAATTTTTAGTTAATGAAATTTTATAGATATAATTGTATTGTATTGTATTTTTAAATTATTTAAACTATGTACAAATTTGATTTAAACTATTTATTTTAAGGTGCTTGAACTTTTTTATTATTTATTTTATTTTTATTTTTATTATGTTATATTTTTATTTATTACTTGGATAAAATTATTAATATATAATTTGTTAAAAAATTATATTTAATTTTATGATTTTATAATTTAAATTTATATTATATTTTTTATATGAGATAAAAAACTCCAAAGACTTAGAAATTGAAAAACCAATATCAAAGACAACTTCTAGCTTGATGAGCCCACCGGTGTATGCTTTCTAAACCACGACGAAGATTATTTCCTATGTAGATAATGTGCTCACCAATTTGCTTTTCCTAAAATGCTAATTTATGTAATATTAAAGCATAGATGGACTCCCAATCCGACACCTCTTCATTAAAACCATATCATTTTTTGCTGGCTAAATTCTGCGTAACTATATATTTACCTACACTGCGAGTTAAATTAATTTTTTTAAATGTAAAAAAACATTTAAATATTTTTAGGTGTGTGTGTATATATATATATATATATAAACTCAAAATCTAATGTATATATTTAATAATTTAGATTAAGGATTATATATACTAATAAAAGAATATTGACGCTAACTAAAAACCAAATTGTGGAAATGAGAAACAAGCACAAATAAAGATATTCAATCTTGCGGTGTTGGAGCCCTTTTATTTTTTTCACTTACTTATATTACTCTAATTTATATTCCATTGGAATAATTTGCTAATAAAAATCTTATTTTTCCTATTAATATCTTTGATTTCAACCCAAAAAAGTATTCCATGCCATTTATTTAATTAAAAAAGGCAATCAAAATATATACACAAAAAACTAGACAATTTAAAATAAAAATAAAAATAAAAATTATATCATTCTAAAACACTTTGTCTCAATATATCATTATTCCAAAACCATGTCTCATTTTTTTTTTAAAAAAAAAAAACATTAACATTTTGATAATTTCAATGCCAGTGTATTAGAAAACATGACAGTAACATATCACTTATGTATTGTTGTGGTGAATATTTTGACAGTATTATTAAACCATGTCAAATGGTTTAATTTTGAATTTTTTTGACTTGATTTTTTATATAGTTTGAGTTTTAAATTAAATTATGTGAAGTATTTATTATAACCTAATTTACTTATTGGGTCCAAAAATATTGAATGACTAATAAAAATCTAGTTTGAGTAAAAACATTCTAAGATAACATCTTTTTCTTTAAAAAAAATATTAATATGCCAATATATTTACATACGGGCTAAATCAAATTTTTTTTAAATGTAAAAAAGTGTTGAAATATTCCTAACATATTTTAAAGTAAATATGTATTTTTTTAATTATAAACTCAAAATCTGGTATACATACATAATAATATAGATTAAAAATTATATATGTTAATAAAAGGATGTTGACTCTAATTAAAAACTAAGTTGTGAAAATGAGAAACAAACATAAATAAAGATATTCATCAATCAATCTTCAATAATTTCATATATATATATATATGTTCTTCTAATATTGTTTTCAATTTTTTTATATTTTTTTCTGATTTTTATTTATTTATTTATTTGGGGATTAAAAAATTGATAACAACAATAGAAAATCAACCTTGTTATTACATAAAAGTACATATGTAGAAGGGTATCAATGAGAGTAAAAAGAGGGCAAAACCACATTTTGCTTCCAGACCTGTGAGAACCAAGCCCAACCGAAAAACATCATTCTTTTATAAAAAGGCACAACACTCCTATCTTCCAGGCTTGTCAAAGTACGTTATGCAACCAAAACCTTGAAGCCTTTTCCCTCATTTCTTTATAAGATCCACATGTTCATATGCATGAAAACTCTAGGGTTCATCACTTGCACCTCGTAGGAGAAAGAAGCATCCCACCAAATCAAAGCCAAACCAAAGTACAACGGGTTCATAAATTAACATGCTGAGGGATTTTACTATTATTACTATAAGTAAAATAGCTCATTTTTTACTATAGACTGAATAGTGAATCCAAGGTTAAAAGACTAAGCTATCTGTGTGTGTGTATTTTACTTTTTTCTTTTTTTAAGCTTTGTTTTTTTTTCTTTTCTTTTATTTTAATGAATATTTCTTTTTGTTTTGTTTTGTTTGTTAATGATAATTTTTTTTATTTAATTATAAAACTTTCATGATATCGATTTTAGATTTGACTGGTTAATTTAAATTTTTTTATTTAATTTAGTTTGTTAATGTTAAATATTTTTCTATTTAGTTATCAAACTTTCATGACACGGATGTTGGATTTAACGGGTTAACCCAGCTAATTCTGGGTTAACTTGTAATTTTTTTTTCTATTCAGTTATTAAATTTTCATAATACAAATCTCAACTTTGATAGGTTAACCTGATTTAAAGGATTAACCTAGTTAATTTAAAAAAAAATGATTTAAAGGATTAACCTAGTTAATTCAAAAAAATATTTCATTAGTTTTTTTTTTCATGTAGGCTTTTTTTCTTTTTTTTTTTCTTTTTAATTATTTTTTAAAATTTAGTTTGTTAATATTAAAAATTTTTCTATTTAGTTATCAAAATTTTATGATACAGATTTCAGATTTGTATTAAAAATCTAATTAATTCAGAATTTTTTTCTTTTTTTTCATTAGTTTTTTTCTTCCTGTAAGTTTTTTTTCTTTGTTTTTTTCTTTTTAATTAAACCTTTTTTGTTTAACTTAGTTCATTAATATTAATTTTTTTCTATTTAGTTATCATACTCTCATGATACAAATCTGAAGTTTGATAAGTTAACCTGATTTGATGGGTTAATCCAATTAATTCATTTTTTTCTTCATTAGTTTTTTCTTCCAATTTCAACTTTTAATATTATAATTTATCCACGGTGAAAAGGCTGGATAGTTATTTTTTTTGCTTTTTTCTTCTCTTTTTTAAAGAATATTTTTTTGGTTAATTTAGTTTGTTAATATTAATTTTTTTCTATTTAGTTATTAAACTTTCATTACACAGATTCTGGGTTTAACAAGTTAACCCAGATTTTTTTTTTATGGTTTTTATTTTTAATTAATTTTTTTGTTTAATTTAGTTTATTAATGTTAAATTTTTCTATTCAATTATCAAACTTTCATGACAAGAATCTCGGGTTTGACAGGTTTACCCAGCTAATTTTGAATCAATCCGTAATTTTTTTTTATTCAGTTATCAAACTTTCATGACACAAATCGTAAATTTAATAGGTTAACTTGGTTTGAAGACTCATCCCAGTTAATTTAATTTTTTTTCCTTTTTTGTAGTTTTTTCTTCATGTAAGCTTTTTTTTCTTTTAAATTAATCTTTTTTTGTTTAGTATTTTTGTTTTTTGTTTTTTTTTTGTTTTTTTTTGTTTTTAATTAATTTTTTTAAATTTAGTTTATTAATATTAATTTTTTTCTATTTAGTTATCAAATTTTCATGGCACAGATCTGAGGTTTGATAGGTTAA